AATTATATCTATTAAAGGAATAGTTGAGTTCTGTTTTCAGACCGCAAATGCCTTCAAAGTGCATGGTTATTGCTCTCATTCTTATCTATGACATTTCTAGTGCCCTTTTAGAACCTAAAATTGCTATGAAGGTAATTTTAGACCCCAAAATATGAGAATTTTATCCAATACGTTCATATCAATTCAGCTCCACTTTAAAAAAAAATATGGTGACTGTTAATTAATTATTTAATTAAAAATAACAATACATGGGCCGGCTGGTTGTGCGTAATATAACCAACACGAAAATGTCAACAAAAGAGCCAACATCGGCATTGGCTGAAATACGACGTAAAAGGCGCTATTTCGTTTTTTCAACGGCTTTTTCAAGTTATCCAATATTTGTGGTGGTAGACAAGTATTATAAATCGTTATATTCATGGATAATTCAGCCGTGTCTGAACCTATTTTGATAAACAAAGAGGATTTTGTCATTTAATTATTTTTTTTCTTCGAATTTGACACTCAGTTTTTCATTATCTCACAAAAATTATTTTGTGTAGCGCCCTCTGCAACAGAACTTAACTATCCCTTTAACAAAATAGAATTTTGTACCAAACATTAGGCCCTTACGCAACAAATCAATGATTTACATACGACCATATTACATCTGAACCGAAAAACACAAGTTTGACTTTAAAAATCTTACCATGATCATTTACAGTCTAAAAACAGTTGGATAAAATCTCGTTCAGATACGATGTGGCAAAACTACAGCTGTTTTTTTATAATGATGTAATGATTTAAAGTGTAATACGCTTCAAATTTCTGTATCTTATAACACAGAGCTTAGTGAATACAGGCAAGATCTTTGTTGTGCGTAGATGCCATTAATTTACACAAGAGAAACAAATGTGATGGCTTTTTTGTGGCGGTTCACTGCGCCCCACGCTGAACAAGCCTATACAGTGCGTGCACAAAAGTGTACCCAACTTTGGTAGCTTCTAATTAAAAAGTTATAACCTATGTGACCTTGAATCATATTTCATGGTAAGAGTTAACAACGAATACCCTTCCAAATGGTACCATATTTATAATTGTGCTGCCATAGATTATATACAGAGCGACAGGCTTTTCAAAAGGTAATGTGAAAATCCTCTTTTACCAAGTTTTGGCTGAAGCAATGAATTGTGTAAAAGGCCATTATGTGTGTGTGTGTGTGTGTGTGCAAAAATAATTGCTCACTTATTTACATTGACTATTAAGCAGTTGTAAAGAAGAGGTGTTTTAGTATAAGCTCAAACTCAAGTAAATGCTTATTACAAGCAAATTTTATGATGTTCTCTTTATTATGATGATTACAATCTTGATTTCATTCGCATCCCTTGTTTAAGGTGATCCTTCTCATTGAGTGATACAAAATGGATTAAGTTTATTTGGGATGTTATCTTTTTTTATGAAAGTCTACTGTCAGAATCTTTGATACTTATCATCATATGCTTACTTTTTGTATTTGGGTTTAGTAACATTCGAGTTTCATTCGCTATTACGCTCATTCCGAGTGTGAAATGGCGCAGCTGACAAGTGAGCAGAGAGAACTTAGATATCGTGAGACAAGAAGTTAGTAGGCTGTTTTAAATAATCAAAGGTTAACCTATGGATCGAAAGAAGTTCTGTGAAAGCCTAAATACATTGCATTATTTTCAACACTGAAGCACTGAAGCAGGGGACATAATGTAATGGAATTAAGACCAAGAAGCACATGCATATGGCCTGACCCTGTGGCCCTCATTTGTTCCATCAGCCCAAACTTGGTACAAGGCGATTTTGTCATTTTGATTTGATTTGATTTGATTTATTCATTTCTTTTTGATTTTCTTTTTCTTTTGCAGTTTTACAAATATATAACAAACAAATCATTGAACATTTTATACCTGACAACAGAGTATATGTAAAACATAGTAAGGTTGGCTGAAAATAATCGAAAACATCAAACAGGAGGGTTGACAAAGAAAGCAAAGCTTGATAGCATGACTACCCTCAATGGATACATAATAATTCAAATATGGAGAACAAAATATTGGTAAAAAGGAAAAAAAAGAGAGAGGGAGAAAAAAAAGAAGAAACGAAAGAAGGAGGGGGTGTACATCAAGATTCACAGATTTATGACAACACCTTTTAAAACTCTGGTACTCAGTCAGCCATGGCAGAAATATTATGATTAGGATATAATTGAACATAATTTTTAATTAGGGGCTACCAAAATTGGGACACTTTTTTGTATATGCATTGTATTTGGTAAAATGCGAACATCATGATTGTTGGGTAAAACTAATATTAAGTATGATGTTACCAAATTGTGTTCATATTTATCTAGTAATGTGTTATCCAACAAACAATCAAGTTTTTAATTTACTCAATTTTACCCAACTGTAAAGAGATCTATCTGGATAAGCGGAGGTAAAACTAATTTTAACGATATGCATAATAAGTATTCTGTAAAAAAGTATGATACAATATAGTATTGATCACCCAACATAACAAATCTCATGGAGAATCATGCAGATGAAAAACATATGAAAAAAGACAACGAATAATGGAAAAATGCCATATGAATCTAAATATATGATACATCTGAGTAAGCGAAAATGAACACCTATGTTTAGGTTCATAAACAACATGAAATAAAATGAATGACCGAAATTTTAAAATCCAAATATTGTAGTTACATTTGGGAAACAAAATAACAAGACCAGAAGATGTGAATCGATGAGCTACATATTCTTAACATCCACCATATACACAAAAGATTATTATTTCAATGGCAGGTGCTTATTACTACAAGACTGTTAATGTTTGCAGTACACCTTAGATTGTCTTCTTGTTTAATGTTATCTATGGCAACCATTTTGAATATCTAAATATTGTAGCTTCAGATATAATGTCAGCTAATTTCAATTTCAATTTCAAGTTTTATTGCGTCAGTGTTTAACAAAATAGATTGTACGGCCTTTACAGGTGTGTATCAACACAATTTTCAATTTTCAAATTTACCAAAATGGGATGTTGAAAGGAGATGTAAGAAATGCAGGGTAATGCATTAATGTTCTTTATAGACATGTTGATCGATATCAGATTTGCTCACCACAGACTTGTTACCCGGGATCGGATCATATGTTGCGGTCATCGTCCTCTGTTTCATACCCATAGAACTTGACCTTGTCACCGAAAATGAATCGTGGAAAAAGCAAACCAGGTGCTCCCGCAAGCGCGCACGGCTTTGTGGTTGTCGGAGAACGTAGAAAACAAAGATGAAGAATCCTTGGAGAGAGTTGAGTAGGATAAAGATGACATGGACTGCGAGGTTGAGTTGTTCGATCACCGTTAAGTATCCAACGAGCCAGGTCAAACCAAGTAGGAGGAGGATGCCGATCCCGTTTGTGAGACGGCGCATGATCTCGCGGCGGGCTTCTGATTTTAACTCGCTAGCTTTCCCGCCACCCGATTTGATTCGCACAAGACGACGCATAACGAGAGCGAAGATGATCAGATTAAGAGCGAGAATAAAGGCCATTGGGATGAGCAAACCGCCAACGAGTGGCCATTTCTGAAGAAAACAGCTGTACAATTGAAAAGGGAAATAATCATTCTAAAATACAGATAGACAAATGCTAACTCAATATTCTGGTAATGTGCATGAATGAAAAAGGATGCAGAAAAAAATAAATAGCACTGAATAAAGACATACGAAGGATGTTTAACTTGCGCTAGTCAGAATAAACCGCAATGATGCGAAGTAACCGGAATCGGACATTAATCTTCCAATTTACTCTGATGAGTGCCAGACGACAAGATTTACTATATCCCTTTATTCCCTGCTACACTTCGATTTTCTTCTAATTACCAATCACATCTTCGGATTGAAACATTTTTGATCATTACTAATGGATGGTTGTTTATACTAAAAAAATGTTATCAAACTATCAAAAACTATCTTAAAAATACAAGTGACATATTCGTACCACAAAGACAGTCTCGGTTTGGACGATTACCTCGATTCCCTTGGCTTTCCTTGTTTTCGTACATTCACACTAATTTTAATAGTTGTAGTTTTCACTGAGGTTTGGTTTTTATCTGAAATATGTTTGGTTTCTGTTACCGCAGTAGCTCAAGATGAGCTAAATTTGCTTCAACTCAATAAACGACTGCATATCAGGAGATGACGGAAACGCGATGGTCTTAACAAGAAATTTTACAACGACACATTCTCCAACATTCCGGTGACTTTTAACATGTTCAACAAAGAATGATAATTTGATCATACTTATGAATGTTTGTTGGATAGCATGAGCATAATGTAGATAGTACTTACTAGTCGGAGTTGGAATAATTCTGACTCGAGATAGCACCAGTAAGCAGCACTATCGCAGCAGGTATTCCTGTCAAACAAATACATTAATATCACATGTTTAATCAATACTCTCTAAAAAAAGAAGAAGAAGAAAGAAAAAGAGAAGAACGATAAACTTAGGAACAAAAACAAAGAAAAAGAAGGAGATATTATGTTCCGATAAGCAAATAAATGCAAATAGACTAAATATGTACACTGTATGTAAAGGCCTACTATGATCAAAGTTAAGCAAGGTTTGACTGATTGTTTGATTGAACAATAGAAGCAAGCTAAAATGCCGGAAGACACTAAGGAAAAACTCATTCACCGAAAGAATAATCAATGTGTGGAATGGTCTTACAGGCGATGCTGTGGAGAATACCACTATCAATCGTTTGAAATCTGGACTTTAGAACTGGTGGAAAGATGCCCCAGATAAATATGATGACAACCCCATTCAAAGGAAAATATGGATAGAAACAACAGTCTAAGACAAGATAATCCTTGATCAAGTGAGTGCCAACTGAGTAAGTACAAAGTACATATAAATTTAATAATTGAAAAACTTAATAGAATTGAATGATAGACAAAATGGAAATAATGAAGAACCGAATATGATTACAAAACGTTGGTGACCTGGATGTAAACATTGGACTGAGAGGCACGCTGAAGAAGCGATGCTTCTATGGTGCAAGGCCCTAAGACTTAGTTGCGTGACAATAGGCATCAAGAGTTTTGGTCAAACAAGTTATAACAGCAGTTTACCCCATGCAATTATGGAGGCTTTCATCATGAAGAGTGGGATATACGAGTCCATGACACGGACAACCATTAGGAACATGTTTATCCCTTCAACGCCCATCCATGATATCGATGAGAGCGTGGTGAAGTGGAGGACGGCGGCGATGACCCCACACAGACCTGGACCGACCTCAGGTTCTCCAGGATATCGGTCGAGTGCTGTCATGATGATGAAGAAGACGTACAGGAAGAGGAGCGTAATGCAGAGGCACATTAAGATCCGGATGGGCTGCAAGCAACGAAGTTTCCTGGGGCAAAGAGAAACAGAGTCAAGATAAAGTATGAAGAAATTAAAATATGTTCAGAGTGGAGTAGGTGAGTTGATCATGTTGACCTACTAAGTACATTGCAATTGCACGTAAAAATCGACGACAGAAGCATCCCCTTTTGTAGACCCTACTCCTCTAATAAGCTTATGTACCCTTTATAAGGCTAGTTTAGATATTTGTATAGCTTTTAACTATACAAACGTTTGAACAAACATTAAGAGGAAATCCCCATTTTTTTGTTACCAAGACCTAGCTAGGGCTAAAAATCCATAACAACTAAGAAAGCACAATACGTCTTGTGTATTCGATGCAATACAAATCGTTAAGAGTTAAAGTGGTTGTAAAGAAAGTAAGATTGCTTCCACGGATAAACCAAAATGAGGTTAAACGCTAGATTGACTAAACTAGGGAGACCATTGTAGTCTCCATATGGGTTGAGAGCATGGTTGAAAGAAGAAGGGTAGGAACATGGAAGTTTAAAGGCAATCCAATCTTTGTACAAGTTCATTAGCACTAAAGCAGAACAATTAGAAAAACAGAATAGTGAAGTTTGAAATATATCGGATCAATAAAAAGAGAGTTTTGAATGTTTAAAATATGAGATCCCTAGATCGATCTATGTGAATCTCATATTGACAATTCGTTCAGTGGATTTTGACGTAGTCAGGGACGTTTGTTGTAAACAAAGTATCATAATTTACTGCATTCTCTCTTAGAGCACTACTCAACATATAAGATGGATAGCATATTATAAAAGGTTCTTTAAAGCCCCACTGTCCTACTTGTAGCTACTTCTCCCTCTATATAGAAAAATTGCCCAATCGGTGCCTGTTGGTCCCCCATGATCCTCTTTTTCTTATGTTAGTTGAGAGCTGAGTTAATAAGATAGGCACCTGTCAGTGACCTCGCTGTGTGGTCTAATCCATTCTGACCCATTAGTGTTGACGGTCTTTAAAAGAAAAAAAATCTCTTGATTCCTACATTTTGAAGACAAAATGGGAGCTTAGTCATTTTTTTACAGAAACAAATGGGGAAAGTTTCGAGCATTCCAACACAGTGACATTACCGATTCAGTCAAATCGAAGTGCCTTAATAGTGATTTTTTTTTTTTTTTTTTTTTTTTTTTTGGGGGGGGGGGGGGGTCCAATTTCGGTCAGATTTTTCACCAGCCTGCTTCTCTGATTTGTTTAGAGTAAAAGTGTATTGAAGTTGGATTTTCCTCAAAGTATTAAAGTCTTACCTATCAGTGATGTAGACAGCCAGGGTCACCAGGAGGCCTACGATGGAGAGAGAACATCCTATGTAGCTGAGAATCCTCAACAGTCGTTCAACTCTCTCTGATCTTCTGGGGATCCCACTCACATCCTGATGAGAAACAGAAAGCAACAAAATGTGGAAATAGAATCGGCCAAATTGAAGATGGATGTATACCGTTGTCTTTAAACGTCTTCATGATTTATCTGTAGACTTTGACAAATTCATTTTCTCACCAAGTATCAACAGTATATGTTATTAGCATTAGACAATGTGCCAATCACGATCTTATCATTAGTAAATATCATACAAAATATTATAAGAATGGAAATTTTGCATATCCATTTTCCCTTCGTAGTCAACATCATGTGAGCCTTCCTTGACCGATTGATGCAAGGAATTCTTTTGTGTATGATATTGTATGAAATATGTGCAATTTGCAGTAGGTTAAAGTTCTTGGAAGTGACCCCTAATATGACTCCTTAGAAATAAGGATTTTTACTCTCCTGCATTAGGAGAGTATGCATCTACATGGTATACTTGCTTTGTCGTAATCTCTAGAGGTGTCGTGGTCTAGTGGGTAAGCTAGTGGATCATAGGCGTGGTGATGCAGATTTTTCTTCTGCCCCCCCCCTACCAAACGTTTTTGCGCGTTACGTAAATGCCCCTGAGAGGTGAGCACACTGGTATGTTTGGCTCCCCCCCCCCACCAATCCCAAACTGTTTACGGCGCGCCTGCTGTGGATTACATGGTTTTCTGTTCGTGCCGAGGCAATTACATTATTTCTCCACTCTTCACCCAGGTGTTAAATCGATACCCGGTAGAATAAAAAAAGGGTAATCTGATTGGATTGGCACGTGTGCGCTTGTGAAATGGCGCCTGGCCCAGAATAATCCCGATACTATGTGCAGATTAGCAATTTAATCCGATGACCGAGTTAATAATGATTAAAATATGACGCACTTAGAAACTTATTATTAAGCGTTAGATAAATATGACTGTTTTTATTATTATTATTATCATCATTATAATTATTACTATCATAATTATTATTATTATCATTGTTATCATCATTGTTATTATATTATTATCATAATTATCATCATAATCATTCTTATTACTACCATTATTATCAGCACTTTTAATATATTTAATATTATGATCATTATAAACAGTATTATTGAATTTTTAATATTATCATAATTATCAGAATTATAATCATTATTATCATTATTATTATTGTTAATATTATCATTATAATCATTCTTATTATGATTATTACCGTTATTATCATTGCATTATTATCGTTATCATCATTTTTTAGCAGATGTTTCTGCATTTATTGATAAATCAAATATAAAACATTCAAATAACAATAATAGTATATAATACAATTGATTTACATAAAGAGTGACAACTTAATACACACAAATAAAAATGCATAATTGAAAGCTTGAAAGTATGGGGGTAAGTAAAAATAATCAAGATAAATGCAGAGGCCAACTATCAGAAGCAAAGATGCTTGAGTCGATAGCAGCCGGGAAAGGGGGGGGGGGGATGGCGCTATTATAGGAGTATGTGGGTGAATAGAGAGTCACGTATAAAGATTTTGTTCAGAAAGTATCTGAATAAAAAGTCGAAAGAAATTATGAAAGAAAAAATGTGCAAGTATGTGCAAGTGGGTGTGTGCAGGTGAAGTGTTCGATTTGTATGTATCAGTTGTATGTAGAAAAGTGTGAAATTAGTTGGCACCAGCCCGGAGCTGTCAGAAAACACGTGTTTACACAACGGCGTCCATGTACGGAATCATTACCATTATTATCATTATCATTATTATTTTTATTATTATTATCATTATCATTATATTATCATTATTATTATTATCATTATCATCATCATTATCTTCATTTTTATCATCATTATGATTATTATTATTATTACAATTATTATCATCATTATTATCATTATTGTCATTATCATCATGATTATCATTCTTTCATTATTATCGCTATTATCATTATCGTTATTATCATTATCATTATTAGGGTAGATACGAGACAGCATTCGAAAACACTAATGCACAGGGTCTTTTGTAAAATTGTAAAATATATACGGGTCAAGCGACTATCAGAAAATCTGTCAGTGCTTCGGATATGAGATTGAGTGAGAATTCTTCCGGAAAAACATCTTAAATCTGATAAGGTAAGATTATTAATCAATGAAAAGGTGATCGATATAAAAACCGACATTTCAGTAAACATGTTGGTTTAAATTGGAATTAAAGGGGTGTGCAGAAATTATCGTTTTATTAGCTTGTTTCAGGTTTGGTTAAACCGCTGTGTGTGTGTGGCTGACATTGTTTTGCATTGGAATGGACAGGTTTGTTCAAAAATTTGTGTAAGGAATACAAGACGGACACCAACAATAGACGCTGCGTCGTCCGCTTCCGGGTTTAGTACATGGCACTCGTGGCATGGGGCGGGGGGGGGGGGGGGTTGAGAAGGGATTCATTTCAACAGCCTCCTCCCCCACCCTCCCCCATAAAAACATAATAAGTGAAGAAAGTGTTACAACATAATTATTTTTCTTATGTTAGTGTGTTCATTGTTTCTTGATTGAGAAAGAAGTTGTAACTCCACTGTCTCATATTCCCTACCTTTTTGGGAAAATCGAAATTATGTCATGACGTCACTAACATAGTAGAAGTGGGACACTGTTGATTTCTTGGGAGAATAACGTTGAATGTAATAGGTATTCATTGTGAATATTACAAATATCTGAGGCTGGTGCCTTTGTTTTCATTATTAGTATCATTATCATTATTATCATTATTATTATAATTATCATTATCAACAGTATTAACTGTTATTATCACTATTATTTGTATCATTATTATTATTAGAAATATTATCATTATTGCTAATATCATTATTATCATCATTATTATCATAACTATCTTTATTATCATCATTTGTATTACTAACATTCTGATGATCTTTGAAATTATTATTAATATTATCATTAGTATTATCATTTTTATCATCATTATTAATTTCAATATTATTATTACTATCATTAGTATTATTGTTATTATCATTATTATCGTTTTTGTTATTATTATCATTATCTTTGTTTTATCATCATTATTATTTCATGTTCTTACCATAAGGACAGCGAAACTGGTCAAATGATTACACTGGCATTCGGTATGTGTCTCGGAAGTGATTGTCATATCACAGCCATCGCTTGACCAAGCATTAGTGGAATATTCCCAATACACACACTGCGGATTCGTTGCATTTTGCTGGAAGTATATAAAATTGTTTTTTTTAGAGAAAAAGACGTGTACGTTTCTTGTGACTATACAAATAAAGACAGGTTTTTATAAAGTAAGTCTACTTTTAATTTCTGTATTTAATGATTTACAGAACATTCTTTCATGCCATTGATGACTTTGATTCGGGATTATTGACTTGAACATTAAACGAATGTTACGTTTTGCAAAATGTATTATACATTTTTAATTTTGCATGTAATATGACTAAAAATCAATCAATAAAAGAAAAACGTTTTATTCATGGTGATGTCCCCAATTTGTGAAATTTAGAATAATCACTGCAAAAGTCACTGAGGTGCACATTTTTGCCCTCTTGAAAATACTACTTTAACTCATGTAACATGAAATGTATTGTGCATAAATAAATAATGATTACATAACCTTGATGAATACATATTCAATATCGGTCTCGGTGGGTTTTTACAATTTTACAAATTTTGTACAAATAACTTGAAGTCTGCCCATTGTGCAGGTAGTATTTACAAATTAGTTTATGAAGAGATTTTGTTTCTTTACCTGTTTGTGTGCCAGTGTTATGGTGACCAGATCATTCAGAGCTTTTGTTGCATTCGTACCGAGGCTCGCTCCGATGATATTGGTATTGACCGTGATATTGCGACGCCCGTCATTGCTTCCCACCTGAACGTCTTGACCATCGTCCATTACAAACAATGCATCGTCTCGGTACACAGTAAATGCTATATTCCCCATGGTGCCTTCATCAATGGTCTCTGGTCCCATGACGATGGCTGCTTGGACAGCACCACCTAGGTTACCCTTGCCAAGATTGTTGGTGGATACCTGGATGTCACTTTCATCAAAGGATTGGCTTTCGTCGCCGATGATGGAGAAGACAATCCCATCGCGGACACCATCCGAGTCAGAGTTGATTACCTAAAGAAATGCATTATAAGATTACAGGCTTGGTCAAATATGGCGCGGTATAAAACCGCCGCAAGAAAACACCGTGTAAATGAGTGGGACTGCGCACAACAAAGGACTTTCGCATGTTCACTTAGTTTTATGCAACGGCATATCTGAACAAGTCTTAGTTGACCACGTGTTGATATGTCTTCAATACAAATGTAGTGGGTAAAAGTATGATAATAATAAATAAGTTAATACACCAGTTTACAGTTGTATCAGTGCGCATGCGCAGACAGAGGTCAGAGGTTATTGGCCCAAAAATTGGGGCCAATAACCTCTGACCTCTGGTATTTATGCGTAAATTAAGATTGCGCCCATGCAAATGATGATATGCGCGCACAACGCAGCGCGCAGGCAGTGATATCATCATAATTTGCATGGGCGCAATCTTAATTTACGCATAAATACATGACCTCTAGGTCATTGGCCTTGTTTAAAATGGCGCACACAACTGTAAACTGGTGTATTGATTTTATTTACCCAGGGTAGCCACATCAGTATCAATACTGCTCTTCCTGCAGGTCCTGTGATGTTTATTACCGGAACCTTGCCAGGTACTCATTTACACTCGTATGGAGCGTGGCAAGTGTGGATTAAAGTCTTTCAAAAGGACGTTAGTTCCAGGCTGGGAGTCGAACCCTCAACCCTTGGACTGAGAGTAGTGGATGAACCACTACACCACGACACCTCTAAATGATAGGAGAGCTGTCTGAGCATACCTATAGAGGTGACTTAGTTGAGTGGTTTAAGAACTTGACTGGAAATGCTAAGGTCGTGGGTTCGGTCCCCGGCAAAGCACTAGTGTCCTTTGGCAAGACATTAATATACAGTATGAGTTTTAAAAAAAGAATTTACACCAAGAATTTTTTCGTAAAAATCATTTATGAACAGTAAAGTATTAAACATCTTATGAAAGAGTGTTTTACCCCTAATCAGTTGGCATTTTTTTTTTTTTTTTGGTATGTGTTCACGCTTGTATGAACAGAAGACGTTTTTTAAGAGAGTGCAAAAATCGACATGCGCCAAATAATGCTTATGTGATGTTAGAATAAAACAATTGGGATTTGGGTACTAATTTCGGACTTTGCAGATCCAAATAATATCCCTAACGAAATTAATCATGCCACACATATCAAAGTCACACTGAGTCACACTCAGTCAGTCACACTCACACACGCACACGCACACACACACACACAAACACACACACCATCACATAGAACAATTAGATGCAGACTGACCGAGTCCTTTCGGAGAAAAAATCATTGTGATGTTAATGCAAGAAACTTTCAATATGGCATTATGATTGAATTTAAATTCCATTTTGATATTAAATGGTAAATCTGCGATTTTACTGAAATGTTAATTACGTTTCGTAATAATGCCTTTGCTGCGTGTATTTTTCATTCATCTGAGTGAGCGAGTGCGCGGAAGCAAAGCGCGAAAGCGTAACTGTGTGTAGGTGCGCGTGTGTGTGCGTGTGGTGGTGTGTGTGCGTGAGTGTGTGTGTGTGTGTGACTTTGCTTCTTTAAAAAAACATATGCAATACATCTCATTTGATACATTTAATTTATTATCTCACTTTCAAGCCTGTCTGCACTAGTTTGGCCAGGAGGGACTAGCTTGGTCACTGACAGGTGATTATCTCATCAACTCTCAATTAAAATAAGAAAAAGAGGATCATAGGGGACCAACGGGCACCGCGTAGGCATTGTTTTCTATATAGAGGGAGCAAGTAGCTACAAGTAGTGCAGTGGGCTTCAATACCTTTGCGCAAGTCGATTTTTGCACCCTCACAAACAATGCATCCTGTTCATCCAGGCGTGAACACATAACACACAAACATGATACCAAACGATTCGGAATATAACACTCTTTCAAAAAATATATGATTACCTTTCGTTCATAGCTAACTTTTAAAATAAATGATAATTTTCGGAGTGTAAACTTGTTGTTCACTCACACAGTACACTTGCCACTCCCTACCCAAGAGATGAATTAGGACATGGTAGAATAAAGAGAGCCTTTGTGATAGAAATTGCCACATTCCATCATGGTGACTGTATGGTAGGTGTACTCCACAGGGAGTGGAAATGGTGCACACTGTGTGCGTGCATGAATCCGATGACTAGAGTAATAATCATAAATGGAAAGCATTTAGAGACGGTATTCCACATTAAGCACTATTAAGAGTACCGAGGTGCTAACGTCATATTTGCTCGTCGGCCAGGTTACTGGTTTTAAACAACAGAGCCTGCACATGATGTTAGCTGCAAAATCAATTAAGTAACGGCCTGGAGCAGGGTAAATTCAGTGTTTGGGGCTGGTGTAATCACCACACCATTGTTTATCATACAACTGTTTAGAACAAGCAACCTTGACAAATAAGCCAGTATGAGGTCACACTTCGGTAGTGTATTTAAATCCAGATTTATGGTTTATTTTTTGTTTATCGTCATACCTGTACCACTAGGTTCGATGCCACGTGTTGGAAGGTTTGGTTGGAAGGCACGTCAATGGCTAGAAGGATGTTCTCTACGGCCATGGTGGCTCTGCTGACAGCGCCATTCATCTTCTCAGCATCCACAGTGAGGCCTTTGTCTAATGTGGCCAGGTTGCTTACGATGTCAACGACTGAGGCAATATTCTAGCATAAACCAAGAACAAACGATTACAGAGATGATGATGATAATGATGTTGATGATGGTGATAATAGCTAGTAAAATAGTAAAAGCTATCGACTAGTCTTCTAATACGGTTGGTTTGTTCATAGATTTTTCTAAAGCATTTGATACCATGGAATTAGGGGAAAACCGTTGACGTGGTTCAAGAATTATCTTAAATGGCGCTCCCAGTTTGTTTCGCTGAATGGTAATTTCTCTGCGAGTAAACCTGTCCGTTCCGCAAGTCAGTATTCTTGGCCAACTTTTGTTTATTATTTAAATAAACGACATTGACAAGTCATCTTTTCTGCTTCAATTTATACTTTTTGCTGACGACTCGAATATTTTTTTGTCAGATCGCGATCCAGAGCAATTGACGCAAATATTAAATAACGAACTTAAAAGTAGGTATAGCACACCACAAATAAGTACAACAAACAAATGTTATTTGATGATTGCAAATGATCAAGCCTTATGAAAGCTTAAAAAACAAAGAACAGAATTGAAATCGGTCAATGCGTTGTGATTTTATACCATGTTTTTGAAATCGCAAAATTACCGAAAAACCTGCCAGAAATGGTCAAATTGGCAAAAATGGCAAACTTAATTTATCACTTTCTCGCCGGACACAAATAATAAATTAAATTATCAGACACTAAAATATCATCTTTGTGATAAAAAATACGGGAAAAAAAAATCTATTACCGTTTTGAAAACAGAAGCCAACAAAATAAGTAATTTTTGCCATTTTTGCGAATCTGCAGATATGAAAAAGTTGTGAAAATAAGTCCGCCTAATTAATAAGCGCATATGTAATCAAATCGAAACCGAATATGATACATCAGTGAAACCTATGTATATCACAGACAGGTATGGAAATATATTTTATTGGAAGAAAAAAATCATGAATATTCATCAAATATGCAAATTAGGGCATTTCAGCTAATGTTATATATATATATATATATATATAGGAATGTCGAACTGTTCATTTTTATGGCATTTTATAAATCATATATTTTATAGATCATATTTTACACCAAATATTAACATTAAATTTCAAATATTTTTGCAATGCCAATAAAATATGGCGATGGAAATTACTTGGATCACCGTCACAGCTATCTCCTCATGTGTGTCACAAATTATTCAGAAAAACCGATCAAATAATAAGAATTTGCCGACTTTCAGCTACGTCACAGTATATTTTTCTTAAAAAAAATGTCAGATTTGAGGATTTTCCGAGAAGCCATTCAACAGGCCATAACATTCCACAAGGACTGAATTTCAGAGTGAAAAAAAATTTGGTGACTCCAGTACAGTTGTGGCTACTTTGAGTGTAAACAACAAATTGATTCAATGAGTGAAACATATGAGGATATTGCATTTTTTGTAGGGAAGTTTTATACATTGAGGTGCATTTTCACCACGCAGAATAGCAGCGCGAGTCAATGGGCGATCAGCGGGCCATGTCACACAATGGCTGAAAAGACAATATTATAACTAAATCATTTAACATATTTCCCACATGCCTATAACAATGAAACTACACAGAATTGTAATTAAAGGTATCCTTAAAAAAAAGGGGAAATAGAAATTTTAAAATATATATATATTTTTAAAAAATAAATTTACAAAAATTGCTATTTCTACCAACTGACTGCTGTTGTGTGTGTGTATTCGCGGGGCAGACTGTGTGCACAGGGGGTGTGTTCACCCTATTTAAAGTGTGGCTTATTGGATTAAAGCAAACAAACTGTTACTTAACTTAGACAAAACTAGTTGCATGCTATTTAGTAATAAGGTTGCAACTTTGCCTAATTGTATAATTATTGATAGTACTGTCATTCAAAGGGCCAGATCAAGTAAATTTGCCGGGCTAGTCATTGATGAAAAACTATCTTGGAAAGCGCACATTGACAATATCCGCAAAATCATTGCTCGCAACACTGGTATCCTTAGCAAATTAAGACACTTCCTACCCCATTATGTTATCCTTGTATTCTACGCTTATTCTTCCTTACTTGAATTACGGACTTATCGCCTGGGGCAGTGCACCAACTACCAAATTAATAGACTTTTTATATTACAAAAAAGAGCGATTCGTATTATAAATAATGCAGATTTCCAGGTACACACGAATAATCTTTTTCTGAATAATACAATTTTGAAAATTGAAGACTTGTGTATTTTTCAGCTTAGACAGTTAATGTACAAGCTCAACACTAAACAATTACCTTTGCCTTTTAATGATATGTTCGTAAGAAATAATTCGATTCATAGTTACTTCACTCGCCAGGCGAGCTCTTTTCATCTACCATTAAATAGAACATCTTTTGCATAAAAGACATTTCAAATGATATTATACAGTGTAATTCGATACAAATTTTCAAAAGGAGACTTAAAAGCTTTCTTCTGAATAGTAACTAGGCTATTGCATTCCCCAATCAAATATAATTTGTAGCGTGACTTTATGCAACTTTCATTGTTTCTTTTTATAAACATGTATATATTTATCAATGTTTGCGTTTGAAAGTGATTTTCGTATTACTGAATCAGTTATTATTATTGTTCTTGTTTTTTTACTCATAAAATAATAATTCATAATAACTACTTTTACAGGGGGGGGGGGGGGGGCTTACACCTACAAGCTCTGCTTTTTAGTCGGCCCTCCTTCCCTCTCAATTTCATGTTGTTTTTTTGTAATGTATTGTATCGTGCAAACTGATCTATATGTATATGTATATGAATATGTGAATATGTTAAAATGTACCATCATTGTAAATATGAACGATTGAAAGAGGAAAAATAAATAAATTAAATTGAATAGAATTAAATGCTCCCCAGCGAGTAGAGAATGCGCATACGTTTTGTGCGGGCAGGCCTTAATCCGATGACTGGGGTAATAATATATCTGTAAAGCGTTTAAAGACATCGTCGATGTATTGATACGGGTGATCTTTCATCATATCAATGAATGCTTATTGTTCAAAAATAAAAAATCAATAAAATCACCTCTTGTGTTGGTTGAGAAATTGACCCTGTCCGGTGAATGATGTCAAATGCAGCATTGACCCCAGCAGAAGTAATATTCGTGCCCTGGGATATAACAGTCAAGTCGGACAGAACGTCCTGGACATCAGCAGACATCAGATTCTATCAACACAACCGACAGTTTGAAATGATAGGTTATCGGTTTTTATTCTTGTGTAATTAAGATATTTTCTTCAAACAATTGTAATTTGATATAACTACAAATGAATCAGCCTATATTTTTTGTGAAGGAAATTTGAATTCGAGCTAGCACTATGACACAGCATAGGACTCGCATATTTATTACAACGATTGTAATTAAAGGTGCGATACTGATATAAAAAAGTACTAGATTATGATTAGATCACTTTTTAACGATAATAAATTAAATTTAATTATAATGATAATAATAATAATAATAATAATAATAACAATAATACATAAAATAGTACTACTACTGCTCCTACTACTACTACTACTACTACTACTACTACTGCTACTACTATTACTACCACTACTATTTCTACTACTACTACTACTACTACTACCACTACTATTAATTACCAAATAATAACATTATTATAATTATAATATTATAAAATTTTTTTCTTCTAGAATGAATTAGTCTAGTTTTTTTTAAATTTCATTTCCAATATTAAGTTTGTTACATAATTGTGCGAATAAAATATAATTTTCAAGCGTTTAAGGGTTGAGGACATTCCGCAGTAAGATTCGTATGCACCTTAGCTGCACAGAGCCAGCTGATCATGTATTTACTACGCACAATACGAGGAACTCAATAACAGACTAGAATAAGATCAAGTTTACCTCTCGTAAGTAGATTAAGAGTTGATCGGCTGTTTTATTGCCACCGCAGTTATCTGAAGGTACCCATGCACAAGGAGAGATATAATCACCGTAGCAGACGGCTCGTGCTATTGGCTCTCCATCTTGATTTATGCAAAACAAAAGTTCAGATGTAATTTATTATTGGTCGTATATTACCACAGTATATTATGTGCAGATATCGGGGTAAAGTGGTTCGTTCTTTTGACTCTCAATATCAGGGTTGAGGGTTCGAATCCCAATTCCGACACTAACGCCTTTGGCAAGATATTAATCCACAGTTGCAATCTTCCACCACCCAGGTGTAAATGGGTGCCTGGCAGTTCCTGGGGTATTAATGATTGCAGGGGCCCTAGGAAGAACAACATGGTGCTGACGAGGCTTCCCGGGTAAAACATTATTGTTATTATTAGCATTATTATTATCAATTTTTCTTCTTCTTCTTCTTCTTCTTCATCATCATCTTTATTTTCTTCATCTTCTTATCACTATTATATTACTATTGCTATCATTATTATTACTACTACTAATTCTACTATTGTTATTATGATTGTCATGTTTTATCAAAGAATTTTCTAGTCGGTACTAATCTTAACATTCATTGGTTTGCCGTGTCATGTAAGCTTAACTTTGTAAAGTCGAAACAAAAAAATATTCCTATAACTATAATATCAGAAATATTTGTTTCATTGTACCATTGTCAGTGAACCATGGACATTCTCCACTCGATTCACTCCACGAATGAAGGTCTCCTGACGAAAACTGAACGATACCATACGGAGAAGACCAAGAGGTGTTTGGACATAGAACTAAGAGAGGAGAGAGAAAGAGAATTTGGATTTCATATTCTGTCATTGCAGTTTTTGAGCATTTTAAGAAGTGATACAATGGGATATCTAAATTGCTCTTAGTTTGCTTTCTTGGATGTCTGTGCAATCGTGTTAAATTTACTGCACACCAGAAAATCCTACTGGCATCCGATTTTTGAAGAAAACGCAATTACTTTAGATATGGAAAGTTAAACAAACATCATCATCCTGATCTGTGTTCTCAATAATGAATAATAATGACTGAAATGTTAGTACCTTTGTGCTTTGTAGTCGGCTAAAAAGTATGCTCAGCTTGAGATCGCAAATAACTCCTGGTCTGAAAAAATCCTACTTTTCTTTAAACTTAACGTGTTCCAATATTTATACCTAATGCAATAGCACATATTTCCAATATCGAACGTTGCTAGATCTGGGGTGGCGGAGGGACTTCAAAAGTGAGGGAGTACCAACAAAAGAGTGCGCTTTATGAAAAAAGGGCACCTAAAAGGGAAAACTCAAAGCAAAAATATATATGTTTTTAGACTTTTGTATATACTATTAAATTGTGATTACATTATCAGGGATGATTTCAATATTTGTGTGTCTTTCTACATCATACAATATATTGCTTAAGCATTATACTCTGAGTTGGGAGTGACGGTCTGAATATTCATTTGCGAGCGAGGGAAAAATTAAGATTTGTGAGGTCGTAGTGCGAAAAATGACATCTTATAAAGAGGAAAAAACCCAATCCTGATGGGGTCATAAGCACATTCTCATAACGGAAGACTGAAAAGACCTTCCATAAGTAACATAATTATATCATCTATAAATGCGAGCAAGCTTTTGGGGAAGTTGCTTGCTGTCACTTTAAATTAGGGGCACGTTTAATTATGAGAGGAAAATGAAAGGGATAAGACACTCTTATTAGAAAAGAAAGGAAGCACGTGTCAAAGTACAAAGGGTAATTATCTGAGGTTAAAATGAAGCACTTCTTACCTGAAAAGAGGCACTCACCAGGGATGAAAAAAGGCACTTATGAGAATGGGACATATTGGCATTTGTCGACGGAAAAGGGGCACCCATCAAATTTTGATAGGGGCATTTATGCGAGGTGAAAAGTGGCATTTATGAAAAGGGGATAGGTCCCTTATTGGAAAGGAAAAGGGGCACGTATCATTGTTATAAAGGAAATTATCAGAGGTGAAAAGGGGCACTTACCGCACCTTGAAAGGGGTACTGATCAGATATTAAAAGTGGCACTGCTGAGAATGAAAAAGGGGCACTGATGGAAAAGGGAGCACCGATCAGATTTGAAGAGGGCAATAATCAGAGATGGAGGGGCACTTATCAAAATTGAAAAGATGCACTACTCATACCTGAAAAGGAGCACTTACTAGAGATTAAAAAGGGCACTTATGAAATGAAAAAAAAAGAAATTTTGCTGTACAAACCGGCTTTTTTAAATTAAATTTTGCTTTTGTCTTTCACATAGGTTCATCTAATATTTTGTTTTCTTCTTCAAACCTTGAAGGCGTGGAAAACAATATTAATTCTTGCCATTTTGAAGAGGAAAATTTATTAATTTAGAAAATTAAGAAATAAGAAAAAAACTGAACTTCAATAGGTTAAATATGATTTAAATTGAGCAAGATTCACCTGTACTTAATACCAGAAGGATGGAAGGGTCAAAGTAACCATCCGAAATGTTCGCCACAGAGAACAATCCGCTCCACAGCAGGTCCATTTCTTCTTGTGCACTCATGCTACTGTTGGCTATGTAGGCTCTCATATCAACCAACACACCGTCATCTGGTAGAAGTTGATTCACGTGAATGTAAATAGTGCCATTGGTGTCCTTCTCGGTTTCAAGCGCCTCAAACACGACCTCGAACTAGATATCGAATGATGCCAACATTATCATGGATGTTTAATCCAGTCGAGTATTTTTACATAAGATTGAAAATTACGTAGCAAACGTTTTTGCTATAAGCTCTGTTTGTTCCTTTACATAGACACTGGGAAAAAAAAGTGGCAACAAATTTGTTTTGCTAGTTTTATTTATTCTGACCAAAGTTTATGAACTATACATGACATCATTATACAATGGTAATTAATATCTCTGTGAGTGAAGCAAATTTCCATTTCAAATTCATATAAGGCAATGTAATGAACGAAGGAATGAATATGTGAATCAAAGAAAAAGGTGAACATCTATTATTTTCTTACTTGTTTTGTTTCTGTCTTGGCTACCCGTAAACTTGAATAGGCTTCTCATTTTAAGAAGCTGGACAACATTACTTCACAACTTATCAAGAATGTACCCTCCGACAAACTGGTAACAGTGAAGAAGAATGTATGGCAATCTAGTTTAGAGATATTACAAATGACTTAAAAATGTCCAACCCCTTACATTTTCTGTTATAGCACGTACAAGGGCCTTGTAATCTGAAGATTCTTGATCAGCGTGAAATGTCGTGAAATTTCTTACAAGCTTGAACTTCAGATGAAAAATAGACATATCTGTATTTATAAACAAAAAAATCATTGATTAAAATATATGATATTTCACAAAAGTTATTACACAAAATTCACTTGAAACATGATTTGGGAAAATAATTTACATTCTTTTTAGGCTACCTTCAATATCCCCTCCCCCCCCCCCCCCAAAAAAAAAGTAGTGTTGCAATATGCAGATGGCATATTACTGTGATACGATGTTGCATAGTTTCAACGGATATGTGCTGCTTGACATACATAAATGAGGTTCGCGATTCGAGTCCCACCGGGGGCCCTAATGTCCTTTGGCAAGACATTAATCTAAATTTTCCACTCGTCACCCTGGTGTAGTAAATGGATACCTAGTGATAATTTATCCGTTGGACGCTTTAAGCGCCTTAGGGCTGCTGGGTTAAATCCAGGGTAACAATACTACTCTGTATGCACCCTGAGCACCCCGGATATGGATGCGTGCGCAATAAAGATATAGCTGTTAATTATTATTATTATCATTACTATTATAAACGCAAATAAAATAATGTATTCTAGTGCAAGTACTCTTTGGACTAAAAGTACATATTCTCTATGAAATTAACTGAAAAATAGTCACGGATAATTATTTTTTTTATTATAGGTGTAATAGCATTTGGGGTCAGTTTCGTAAGTGTGTATGAGTAGAAAAAGAGTTTGCTGTCTTGGGTCGTCGTCTAAAAGTAAAATTTCGGATGAAACTGTTTTTGTGTTAAACAATACCCTTCCCATCAAACAAAAATAATAATAATTACCTCTGATTCTAAGCAGTGCTTGGTTGCTTTCAATACGAGGTCCATTTTCTGGGATACCGACACAGCTATAGTACGCCTGATCAGGGGGGCTCATCTCATCGATGATATAGTTAGATATATCACGGGTGTCAGGCACCTCTTTCCCATCTCTCCACCAGTCAAAGTGCTGAACATCTTTGAATTCACAGTTCAATACTACCATCTCTGATATACCTACAGTTCTATTTATGGGGTGAGTGGTAACGGAAGGCACTCCTGGTAAGGATGAAGACAACAAATTCACTGCCATTTATTGTGACATAAGGCCTTATAAAAATCTAAAATCTAAAGATGACTTTAGTGATTTGTTCCAACAATCCCAAATTGTAAGGACTGTGTTCTACTTCAAATGTTTTTTTCATATTTTTCATTCATCTGTAACTACAATAACATGTGCTCAAATTAATCAAATGTTCTGAATTTTAATTTTGTGGTCAGTATGTTGCTTGCAATCAGTTGAAAAATAAACAATGCTTACATATTCTATAATCGTTTTGGAACTTTGGTGTTTTAGACATGAATAAGATGAGAGTTTCCCGGAGGTCATGAACTTGAGATAGATACAATGTACGCTCAATCAAAATTCAAATTCCTATAACAGAACTATGAATACAAAAATAGACTATGTACTTGCTTAAAGATTTTGTTTTTAAATTATCATGTATAATATCAAATAAATAATCACAATAATTTATACAAAAACACATTGAGATAATACGATACAAAGAGAATGTTCATTGATAACTATGAGTTATTTTTGTCAATGCTGATTATCTTTTTTTCTATGCTCTGTATCATTGTAAAAATATGAAATTTTTCTAAAAAACAATATAAAACCCTTTATCTCAGCATTTTTTCTAATCCTCAAAGAAAAAAGAAATACGTTGGATATTGGAATTGTAATAATAGACACTGCTGCAATTTCTCAGCTCTTTAAATATAGACAAATTTGATATATGGCTGAGGCATGACACGTAACAGTCATGACAACAATCATTTCATGCAAGTGGTAGTTTTGACTTAAACACCTGTTCTGATATTGTAGACGCGAATGGACCCACAATTGCCCCAACGTATCCGACAGATAAGTTCAATAACAGGCAAGAAATGGTTGAAATCTAATATGATTTATATTTGGCAAACAGGCATTATTTAGTTTAGAACACGTGGAGCTCATACCATCTTGTGTTTGGTTAATGCTGCATGTTGTTCCCGCGTAGAGCGATGAGCACGCACACCGTCGTTCAGCTGGTATACAGGTACCTCCATTGAGACAAAGATTTGACGTACAGTAGCCTATTGACAAAAAACATTGGTTAGTGGAAGAGCAGTGATCTCCAAACCAGAAGATTTTGGGTTCAAAGCCATGTAAATGTGCTATTGCCCTATGAATGAATAATAAGCCTCAATTCCCAAGTCCCTCGAATATGACTTAGGATCTAAGGTCTACTGGTCGCTACAATTAGTCACTTTGGAGCACTTGTACAAATGACTCCCAAATATCTCCAGGTCGTTTACACATGTGCATTTTAGAATAATCACTGCCTACGTGATGGAGGTATTTCCTTTTTTATGATTACTTTCATGCCATTCTGATTCTGATTCCGGATTACAATTGGTTACCTCCTTCATTATCCGAAACAATCCTTTCAGTGTTTATCATTTGATAATTTTTTTTGAAAAAAAACAGTGTAATCATTGTTCGAAACATGGCTTCCGCCAAACTGTCGTTCAAGGTCTGCAAAACCTACCACTCTCACAATAGGTGCCATAACATTCAGCTACTCTTCTTTCAAATGTGTTTTGATAAAAGAATAGATAAATCAATAGCACAAAATCAATCCATTACAGAGAAAAAGGGAAATGGTTACATTGGCATAATAGACCTTTCTAGCTCCACAAGAGAAACCAACGATATCTTACATAATATGTCATGAAAAGCATCTAGATAGTGGCATGCAGACAAACATACATGTACTTATAACTTGACATATTATATATATATATAAATATACAGTGTCTCAAACAATTATTTATACACCTGTAAATTAATGATTTAAGTAAGGATAAAATAGCAATTACTCAATATTGAATTTCTATTGAATGATTACATTTAGCGGATAACAGTTCCTTTTTGTAACAACACATAGTCAAAACATAAATTACGAATTCACATATCCGCATGTGCTGATCAAGCTGCACTGGGGAGTTTTGTGGTTAGTCCATTACAAACTAAGGGATGGATGATTCTACTGCAGAGGTTAACAGTACATATATTCAAGTAACTACATGTATATACACAAATGTGTATTTTAAAGGGCCTCACATATATATGGACTACCGGGCGTATTTGTACATAAGATTACTCTACGTATTCTTAATTTTATGTTCCTAATTACAGAAATACAGAATAAATAAATACAAAAAAACAAGACCAAACAAACAAACAAAAAATACCTATTTCACAGGTGTGGCCCTCCCATCCTGGAGGGCAATCACAAGAGAAGGCGTTCACAAGGTTGTTACACTCTGCACCGTTTAGGCATGGGTTTGAAGAACATTCATCAACATCTGTGAAGTAATTCAATCAAGTACATGTGAACTCCTCAAACAAAGTTCAGCAATTCATGTCTGAGCGTTGATATCTCTCTTGTTACTATATTATCATACTTGACGATGTTTTTATTTAAAAGTCTGTTTATAATCCTTTACAATGATGCCTCATTTGTAATTATTATGTAATCATCAAATGTGTAGTACTCCTGAATATGGGGCTAATTCAAAAGAAAAATGCTGTAAAATGCAGTGTTATTGCCAAAAGTGAATTCTCCATTTGTTTGGAGGGTGGATTGTGTTTTGAACGATGTTGAGGCGGTCGTTGTTGATGAAAACAATGCATTTTTAGCAACATTTCACTTGACTTGGTCCATAAATAAACAAGCATTTCAATGATACCAACATCCTGTTGATGGGTTTTTATATATTAGCACTTATCTGTACAGGATCATAACTTCCGAAAACTGTTATAAGTAGAAGTACAAATACTGCTGATATTGTAACAAATTTAACACGCGTTTGTCGGCGAACTTGTGTTTCTAGCAGTTTTGTGACACCACGCCAAGACAGCTGATGAATGCGCGCCGCACAGTGGGCAAGGGAGGAACCAAAGTGCGCCAAAACTAAGTTTGGATGATTTATTTTTTCAATGTTTTTCTTGCCCAGTTGAAAGGTAATACATAGAGGAATACCTCAGTGAAATATTTAATTCCGGTATGCACAATAAGGGTATAAATGTACTACTTCAAACAGCAAATTCCTACATATTCACAGTTTTAGTGCAAAAGTGACTTATTTTATAAAACTTTCAATTCAACATGAAGTTTTTAAGTTACTGATATGAAATTTCTCTCACATATTCCTGAGAGTTCATTTCGTTGAATGAATGGGTTAAAATTAATAGAAACACAATCTTCATGATATATTATAGGGTAGTTCACTGAAAAATGGACTAATTATCCATGTTTTTTTTTTAATCCAGAAGAAATGTTTAAATCTCTGCGGTGTATCGCTTAAATTTTAATACCACCATTTTCTCTGGTGTCTAAGCTTCAAGGTGATACCAAATTTGGCTGCCCGATCTTGCCAGTTGTTATGTTAGAGCCGATTTCCCTTGCCACAATGTGGGTTTTGGGGGTCCGCGGCTGAATCATGAAGGATTCGTGGTCATATATCACGGCGCGCGGGGGGGGGGGGGGGGTGCGTGACACTTGTTCTGACACCGCGGACCAAAATAAACACATTTTTTACGGGGCAGTGTTGCAAGGAAAACGGCTCTAACATAATAACGGGCAGAATCGGGCAGCCAAATCTCGTATCAACTTAAAGCTTAGACATCAGAGAAAATGTTGGTAATAAAATTTAAGCGAAAATCCCTGGAAATTCAAACATTCACCTCTGGATTTATAAAAAATAAATCCCCACACATGAGTTTTGGCGCACTTTGGTTCCTCCCTGGCCCACTGTGCGCCGTTCCTACAGAGGGTAGTGAATGAGAACATCCCCATCTTGTTCGTTACCTAAAGATTTTTTCCCAATGGGTTGGTTATTTTGTTTAAGGTAATTCCTTTATCCGAAAAGCGATGGATTTTAGTAAATACAATTACTGAAGTACAACATGATGTTTTGGCTACCTACAATGCTTATGTTGATGTAGTGACATTGCAATTTACAAAAGGTTGTATCAGGATGATAAAAATAAGTCTGGCACAAACAACTTCCAGAATTGAATTATCAAAATACGTCAGAAGAGAGAGAGAGAGAGATAGTAAATAAAATAGATAAAGAAAAGGGAAAAGAAAGAAGGTAATTGGTATACATATATATATTCACTATGCCATTGACCAATTTGCTCTGTTGGACTAATGAAGCTTACCATGGCACGAAACTCCATCTACATCAAGATAGTATCCTGGGTCACAGGAACAAATGAAGTTACCCGGTAAGTTGGTGCAAATTTGGTGACAGGGCGATCCTTCTTGGCATTCATCTATATCTGTAAATACGATTATTAGATGATTAGAAAACAATCATATCAAACGCACGCAAATCAACGCAATATTGGTACGATGTGGAACAAAATCTCCAACCCGACGCGTACGGCCTCGAAATGTAGGTAGCGCCGATGAATAAGAAAAATACCTCAAAGTCTATTGCATTTAAACTTAGGCCATGATGCACAAAAAGTAATAAATGGAAAGGAAATTCATTTGCATTCATATGCATTCATATGCTTTAAAAAATATCGTGACATAACTAAATTGAGAGAAAGATTTTATAATCATTTTTGTACAACCTCACAACAAAATGGCAATTTTCGTGGGTTTTACTGAAATTATGGTCCACTAAAATTTGAATCTACGTCCGTCAAGCTATCTTCAATGTTAGATTGAAAACTATGTATTAAAATCGCGATATGAATATTCATGTTGGGGTTGAAGACCTTCTTTTATATATTTTTTATACTTGTATTTGATTGGCTGGATGGTTATAAAGGAGGTAATTTTATTAGCAGAATTTTTGGATCAGCTTTGATTCTTAATTGTATACGAGTGACGTCACAGTAAAAGGGAACGTACGTGCCTAGGGTGTATCCCTAACTTTTACAGGTCGTTGGGGTAGCCGTGGTACTCTAGCTCAGAGTCTACGGCTGCCGCAGGGACGCCCTAAGGCGACCGTGCGTCATCACTTCAAAGGCCGTACGTCATCCGCAGGTTTTCTGTCTCCGCAAATTGAAAAGACGCCGTGCGGCTACCCTAACATATGTGACTGATACCGTATGTGACCGTGGCAACGCTGCGGCGGCCCTATAATTGCTTTTGACCGTAGATAATTATGTTAGACCCCCGGCCGCCGCGACAAATGTGACCTAGGCATATAGCACGAATGCAAAACAATAATGATACAAATACCGTGAACTCTCTGCCCACTCGTTTGATAGTTTGTGTTCTAAAGGAAACTGACGCCAGGCTGAAAAGAACGCCCACTCATAATAATGACAGGACTGTGGTATGAGTCTGAGCAAAAATTGTCTGCTCGCGATCGTCAGGAAAATACATAATCACAGACTTTGGTTTCTTACCGTACAAATGAGACTGGAATAAAAGAAAATCACTGCAGAATAATGGATCCTGTACAAGATAATGATGTCATGTTGATTCGACAGGATAAAAATCCCGTTGTTGGCAATGGAACAGGTGATCGAGATTGTAAGATCCTTAGTTGTAGGACAAATATAAGGAAGTGTCTGCAATGACGTCAAATGCATCATCAAGCCACGTGACTTTATTTACCTGTTTTCGAGGGGTGGAGCTCAACAAGCATGATATCTGTGAATAATGGATGAGCATTATCATTTTTTGCTCAAAATAGAGATTTTATGAAAAAATCTTAGGCTGGAATATTAATAAGTAGAGGTATGTTTAATATCATTATAGTAAGATTCCAAGTCTTCTTGTTAAAGTTACCATAATAATGGCAATGAATTCTTCATTCTAAACATTCGCTTTCTTCCGCTTGTCATGTTCCTATATAATATCAGTCTAATAACCTAAATCCTAATCCTAACCCTGAACCTAAAACCCGACTGCAACCCTCAGCCTAACCTTAACCGTAATCCTTACCCTAAATATGAAACCCAATTGCAATCCTCAGCCTAACACTAATGCCTCACTCACATTTGCCGCAGCGGCCGTGAGCAGGAGCGCCGGCAGCAGTTTCGGATTGTGGGTGGGGGGGGGGAACAATTCCAGGGGGCTCACCTTTCAGAGGCAGTGGTGTAATGAGCAAAAACGTTTTTTTTTTTTTGGGGGGGGGAGGGGGGAGGGGGGGGGGCATCACCACCATTCTTACATGTTACATGCAGGCCCCGCGGAACTTTTTTCAAAGTGTAGTATTAACGATAAATACAATTCAAACGTGGTTTATGTCTAATTCGATACCAGTAATTTACAAATGTTGCTGAAATGACATCATTTTCCGGGATTTTTTCTCATTTATTTCGTAAATTATTATTTTTGATGCGTTTTTTGAAAAAAATACAAATTTCCCAATATACAGTCAGGCAGGAAATATGCTTAATAATTAAAAGCCTTCATGTTCGGAGGCTCCGCCTCTTGGCTCCCGCCGGGGGGGGGGGGGGGTAACTGTCCCAACATCCCCTCCCCATCAGTACGCCAGAGTTCAGGGGCGTATCTTCTCACCCTATAATAAAAAAAACACACACGCTTTCCCATCATCGTACAATATGTCCACTAAATGCGCGTATCGCAATTATCAAATCCTCCATTGATAAAAATAGGAGCATGCGGAATGTAAAGGAAATTTCTTTTCTTTGAATGGAATATATTTTTTATTATTTTATATTCATTTCATTTTTTTATTACAAATCTTCTTGTTGGTTTAAAAAAAGTACATTTTGTTACTCTTTTACTGCCGAGTTCGTTTCGGGGGGGGGGGGGGGCTTTATAAAGCGTTTTGTCCCCCTTACTTTGTTTTGTTTTGAGGGTGCAACCGCCCCCCTCCTGTCCCCCACCCCACTTCCGCCACCCCTGGGCCCGTGGGGTCTAAATATTTACGGCCAATAGCAATCCCACGGTGTCATACTGTAGCGGTCACATAATTATATTAGGGTAGCCGCTAGATGTATTTAGAACTTCTCGAGACAGAAAACCTGCGGCTGCCGTACGGCCTTTGAAGTGATTACACACGGTGGCAGGGTGTCCCTGCTGCGGCCGTAGGTCTTTGACAATTCCCAAGGCAGTCACAAGACGAGCCGCAAGCTAGCTCCCGCAAGACGGCCACATGGGGACCATAAGGCGGCCTTGAACCGCTCTATTGCATGGTTACGGCGCTTCCTAAAGGTACTATGTCCCATTTGCAGGCCAACAAGATGAAAAGGTTAAATTACAACGTTATTTGAAAGACAATACTTATTCAGAACTTCCCTCGAAACGAAAGGACTTGAAAATGGCTGTTAGTGGGTAAATAACGACCATTGCTTGTCGAATCAACTTAAGTGATTGCAATCACTTAAGTAATAGTCTGAACGACTCTTTTACAGAATGGTCGTACGTTTTGTGCTGCACAAAGATTTAATCAATTTATCTTTGGCCATCACATGTAGTGGGTTATTGATGTAGACAAATGCTCACGTACCTGTTACAGCTCATGTTATTTATGTTATTACCAAAGAAAAAAAAGATGTCAGTCAGTCACTCAAAAAAAGCTTGGAATAAATATCGAAAGAGCAAAAGCAAACAATATCCTGATGTGGATTTGCACTGGACGGAGTACACCAAAATAAGAGACATATCCACCTCTGTGATCAGAAAATCAAAATCTGAATTTGAAAACTAACTAGCAGCTGAAATTAAGCTAAACGTCAAAAGCTTCTGGAATTATGTAAAGAAACAGACAAGATCAAAACCACCATTGCCTGATCTACAAAAATCTGACGGAACATGGGCTAAAGAGGACCAAGAGAAAGCTGAGACCCTTAATGAGTACTTTGGTAGTGTTTTTTCAGTGGAGGATATTCATACAGTTCCAATACTTGACAGGAAATGCAGTAATCTTCTCACTTTCATTGAATTTACACCTGAAGAAATAGATGACCTGTTAATGCATCTAGACATCACAAATCTCCAGGTCCTGGTGGTATTCATTCGCGTGTGCTGAAAGAAACTAATACTGAGATTGTCAAACCACTGCAAACAATATTTACAAAGCTATTGAACGAAGGGAAAAATCCATCAGTATGGAAACAAGCAACAGTGGTTCCAATCTTCAAAAAGGGCAAGACTAATGACCCAGCCAACTACCGACCTGTGAGTCTGACATCCATTATATGCAAGTCTATGGAGAAACTAGTAAGAAAGCATGTCATACATCATTTAGAGCAGAACAAGTTAATGTGTGATGAACAACATGGATTTCGGGCTGGAAAATCTTGTTCAACTCAGCTATATTAGAAGTTTGCGAGGAGTGGGCAGATGGCATTGACCAGGGTCATAATGTAGACTGCGTCTATCTGAATTATCGGAAAGCATTCAACAGCGTACCACATCAACGCCTCATATGTAAACTTCAGTCTTACGGAATAGAAGATCCCTTACTTGGCTGGATTAAAGACTACCTTTCAGACATGACTCAAAAAGTTGCAGTAAATGGGAAAGAGTCGAGATCCATTCCTGTGACAAGCTCTATTCCGCAGGGAAGTGGGCTCGGACCAACTTTGTTCAATATCTTCATCAATGACCTGCCATCAACTGTTGACTCCCCCGTGAAGTTTTTTGCCGATGACAAGTTATACAGGACAGTGGACTCTAAAGCCGACTCAGATTTGCTACAGATGGATGTCAACACCGTAACAAACTGGTCCAATGTATGGCAACTGCCCTTTAATGAAAGTAAATGTAAAGTACTTCAGAATGGAAAAAAGAACCAAGGATTTGACTACACACTGGTACAAACATATTTTCAGTTCCATCTGGTGATAAAGAAAGAGATTTGGGAGTGCTGTTTCAACAAGACCTGTCTTTCAGCACCCATGCAGCAGATGCTGCCAAGAGAGCCAACATTAAGTTAAGAATGATAAAAAGGTCTTTCTCAGCCTTGCTAAAAGAAGGGGTTCCTTAGTCTCTACAAAACTAGTTCGCTATCACAGTGATCTCTCAGAATGGTGTCAAATAAATGCAGGTGTGCCCCAGGGTACGAAACTTGGGCCCCTAATTTTTCTTGTGATGATAAATGATTTCAAATCTTTTGAAAGCATACATATGTTTAAATATGTCGATGATCTAACCCTAGTTGAGTGTCGTAAAACGAACCAAATTTCAAACATGCAAGAAGCTGTAGAATGTTTATCTTTGTGGGCTGATACTAATAAAATGCAATTGAATCCTGCGAAGTGTATCAAAATGGACATTTGCTTTTCAAGAGTACCAGTCAATCAGTCTTCCATCATTCTCGAAAATTGTGTTCTTTCAACTGTTT